TGAATGATTCAATACAATCGAAAGAAGACGACCAGGATATCAGAAGCCATTAGAAAGCATTCCAGGTGAGCCAAACAAAACATCTCAGGCGACTGTACATAGAAGGCACAGAATAATCTTCAGAATAGGACAAGCAACACTTCCTCTCCATATCCCAGAGAAATGACAACTATGACAGTTAAGAAAAAAATAGGACATAGGGGTACATATATCTTTATGGGTAAATGTTTTCAGATTTTTTGGGATAGATACCCAGGAGAGGGATTGCTGGGTTGCATGGTAATTCTATTCTTAATTTTTTGAGGAACTGCCATACTATTTTTCATAGTGGCTGCACCAATTTACATTCCCACCAACAGTGTATGGGGGTTCTTTTTTCTCCACAGCTTTTCCAACACTTGTTATTATTTGTCTTGTTGATAATGGCCATTCTGACAGGTATAAGGTGGTATCTCATTGTGGTTTTGATTTGCATTTCCCTAATAGCTAGATATATGTACCCCTATGTTCATTACAGCCTTATTCATAATTGCCAAGACATGCAAACAACCAAAGTGTCCATCGATAGATGACTGGATAAAGAAGATGTGGTACATTTATACAATGGAATGGTACTCGGCCATAAGAAAAGATAAAATAATGCCATTTGCGACAACATGGATGGATCTTGAGAATATAATGCTAAGTGAAATAAGTCAGACAGAAAAAGTCGAGAACCATATGATCTCACTCATACGTAAGATATAAAACTGAAAGCCACAAATGAACAAGACAAACAAACAAGAAGTCATAGACACAGACCACAGTTTCGTGCTGACCAGAGGGGATGGGCAGGGGCAGCTAGAGAGGGTAAAAGGGATTAAATAAATGGTGACAGAGGAGATTTGACTCTGGGTGGTGAACACACAATGCAATATACAGATGATGTATTAGAGAACTTGAAACCTATATAATTTTACTAACCAATATCACCTCCCAAAAAATTTAATAAAAAAAGAAAACAAAGAAAAAGAAAAAAAAATAGAAGAGGAAGAGTTTCCAGGTCCAATTGCTGGTGGAAGTAATTTAGCTTCGGTGTAGCCACAGATGGTCTCATAGCATGACATTCTCTCCCAGCTCTTGTTCATGTTAAAAATATTCTGTTTTCATGCTGCCAAATGTTTGTTTACAGATATGAATATTTACTTTACCCACCACTTGAGCACACAAAACTAGGATGGAGACTAAAAAACACAGAATTAAAGACCTGGATCGTGCCACTATTGTCTTCTCTCTCCAGAGAAAAACCAGTGATTTTCTCTCTGACCCTGATTGGCATGTGTTCATGCAGTGACTCAGTCCATGGCATCCTCTGGCCTTGATCTGGGGAATTATTCCAATCCTGTTTCCTCAAAAATTGCTCTTAAGGTGCTAGGCGATTTCTTCTACATCCTGTGAGCTTTCTAGAACTGGGTGGTCTCATTTCCATGACCTCTTGAGATATCCACTCCACTTTCGAGAGAAAACCTGAATCAAAGAGCGGTGTATGAACATTTGATCTTCTGACAAATTCAATCCAGTCGCCAAGGACTGCAAAGTTTTTACAAAGGCTGTCTTGCTATTAACAGAAATGTGGGGTCTTAATTCCGTCTTTTTCCTCCCCTTCACAGCTAGGTTTCTCTTTCTTTTTTACAACTTAATTAAGTATACAAAATATGCAAAAGCCGCACATGTTTAACGTATACAATTTGATAAGTTTGGACATGTGCATATACCTGTGATACCATCACCACCATCAAGATAATAATCATATCCTTTTTGTCAAGGTACATGTTACATACTATTGGGTTGTCGGAAAAGTCATGACGTATTTTTTCTATGTTTTTCGTTGCAAAAATGCATCATGACTTTTCCGACAACCCAATATAAAGAGGAGACAGCAAGTGCACATATTGATGGATACTGGCAAGTGTATTTGACGGGAACCACCACCCTAGTTAATATATAGAGCATTTCCATCATCCCAGGATACTCCCTATGTCCTCACCAGTTCATCACCTCAGATTAATCGCTGTGCTGATTTCTATCACCATAGGTCAGTTTTGCCTATGTGTCCTCCAACTTCCCTATGGTCTTCCCGCCATGCATCTCTAACAGCAACATTTGGTGTTGTCAATATTTTTATTTTAGTCATTCTAGTGTATTGTTAAGTAGAGTTTTCATTGTGGCTCTAAGTTTCATTTTCTTTTTCTGTTTTTTTTTTTAAAGCGAAGTTTTTCTGTTTTCTTTAAAACAAAATTTTATTGGGGAACAGCCATGGTCGTTGGTTACACATTGCTTTCATGCTACAATGGCATAGTTGACTCTTAGGGAGGGCACAGCTCACAGTGGGCCATTCAGGGATGGAACTGGCAACCTTGGTGTTATCAGCACGATGCTCTAACCAGCGGAGCTGAACAGTCACCCCTTCATTTTCTTCTTGACTACTGATATTGAGCACCTTTTCAATGTGATTTTTGACACATATATCATTTTTCTTGTGAAATATCCCATCCAAGTTTTTACTCATTTTGAAAATTGAGTTGTCTTTTCACTATTCATTTGAGGGAGTTCTTTATGTATTTTTAATATGTTCTTTATCAGATGCATAACTTTTCCAGTCTTTGACTTACCATTTCTTTTTCTTGATGATGTCTTTTGATGAATAGAAAGTTGTAATCTATCATCTTTTTCTTTATGCCTTTGAATTTGTCTGCAGGATTCTTCACCTGGGAGAAACTTCCTCCCTGTCTTTCAGGGTCAGTTGCATCATAGGATATGATAAATACTGATGTTCTTGTTCCTTTTATCCCACAAGCTGGGAACCAACTTAAGAGCAGGGACTGCGTTTTATGGAGTGTTTTGTATCTAGTAGAAAACCTATCAAGTAGCAGGTGCTCCAAAACTGTTTATTACCCTAATGCACAAATGAATATGTTGAAAATTGGAAGAGTCAATTCAATTTCATCAATTAACTTCTTGGCATGCAATTTTCTCTTCCCGAAAACAAAGAGACCTCCCTACTTATATCACAAGCATGCACAAGCAATGAAAGCTTTATGAGGCTGTGAAAATGGAGGGTTTTTTCCCTCTTAGTGTACACCACCAATAAGCAGCCTGTGAATATATACTTTTCACAGATTTTTATTATTGTTGTTATTATTATATGATGAATCCCAATTTTCACTTGAAAAGCAGTATATATAATTCTTTTTTTTTTTTAA